ACTGGTCTCCACTGATCACCACTGACTAAAATTCAACAACTAGCGAACTGTCTAGAAAACACAGATTATGCAAGAGGCTAAGAAGAAAAATGATCAGAATGGTGTCCTTTCCTTCCCACCCTTGGGTCAGCTGAATTTTGTGGAAGTTCTTGCAATGACTTGTTTTCATCCTTCCGCTCGTCTTTCAGGTTTTCATGCTTATCTTTGCTTTCTGAAAATAAACATGTCAGAAATGAGTTACAGTTAGGAAAAGAAAAATTTTTTAAAAAATCTATGGAGTTTAGCGTAGCTCAAGTAAGATCTTTTCATCAAATTCTCTGTGAAAAGATTAAAGACCCACCAATTCATGAAGACAAAAACGTAAGTAGAATCTGGTTTATCCTTTTTAATTTTACCAAGACAAGTCACCAAATATTTCTGAGAAAAAAAAAAACAAAAAACAAAAAACTTCTAAAGTTTAATTTCTGTTCCTGATACTCCGCACCGGTGGGACCTACTGGTCCAAGCCCAGGCGCAGCGTGGGTGAGACCCTCTTCCACCCCCTTGGGCCCACCACCACCACTCCACAGCACCCCCCCCACCCAGTGAGAACTTCTGCCGCGTTCTGAGGACCCCCAGATCCAGTCCTAGCCCAGGCCCCAGTGAGTGTGTGGGCCAGCTTCCTGCTACCCTGCGCCAGCAGAACCTGCCAGTCCAAGCCCAGGTGCAGCGTGGGTGAGACCCTCTTCCACCCCCCTGAGACACCCACCACCACTCTGCAGCACCCTACCCCTACCCCAACCGCCCAGTGAGAATTTCTGCTGCATTCTGGGAACTCCCAGATCCAGTCCTAGCTCAGGCCCAGTGAGTGTGTGGGAGAGCTTCCTCTCCCACCTACTCTACCTTGTCCCCTCCAGACTCAGTTCAGATTTGGCATACAGGCCTGAGGTAGAACCCTGCAGCTGCAATCCCTGCAAAGAGTATAGGGGACAGAACCACCCAGCTAGTCCAGGAGCAGAACATCTTGACAGAGGGGCACAACAGGTTCACTCCCAAGGGCAGCAGCAGGAAGGAGCTGAGCACAGCAGCTACACCCAAGCCAGGCACAGCTGGATAAATCCAAACTTTGTAGATCTACACCTGCATTTCAGTAGGCATTAAGGTTATAACTGCACCAAAGTTCTACAACAAAGGTCAGAAGATGGTGCTACACAAAATGACAATGAGAAGGAGCAAAATGCAATCTCAGACCCCAAGGGCTCCCATAACAAGTGCAGAGACACTAACACAGAACAAATTGGGACTCACACAGCTGAAATCGATGAATCAACAGCTTCTGAAATAAACAACTGTAGAAAGGTACAGAGGAACTCAGATTGGAAATGAAGAAAGAAATCCCTGAATAGCATCTGCTGTAAAGAATCAAATTCAGAAACATATGGAGGAAACCCAATGCCCACACAGAACAAGTGCAGAGGACACCAGCTAGGTTCAACTGTATGAATTAACAGCGTTGATAGTAAATAAGCAACAGCAGAAAGTTATAGAGGAACTCAGAGCGGGATTCTTTTCTACTACCTCAGCTCAAATGTATGAATTAACAATGTCGATAGTAAATAAGCAACAGCAGAAAGTTATAGAGGAACTCAGAAAGTCTTTTCTGAAATAAAAAAAGCATTCTCTGAACTCATAGCATCTGAAGTAAAGAATCAACTACAGAAACATAGGGAGGAAACCCAATCTGGAAAAAACACTGCAGTAAAAGAATTAATAACTGCTTCTAAAGAAGACATTGATAAAAAAAATAGAGATTAGAAAAACGACAGATTCCATGGATGAGCAATACAGGAAAGAAATAGATCGCATGACACATAGTCAAAAGAGATATACAGGAACTTAAAATCTCAATCACAACCTTGCAAAAAACATTTGAGTGAAAGCGAAGACAGAGTTTGAGATCTTGAAGATGTTGGTGCAGTTAGTGAAAAGGTAAGAAAAGATCTCTTAAAAACAAGTAGGATGCAGGAAAAAATAATTCATCACCTGCAAGATGATGCAAAGATGAAAAATGTGAGAAAAATAGGTATCAATCAGAAAGGAGTCAATACAAATGACATTAAAAAAAATATGGGCAGAAGTAATAGCAGAAAACTCCCCAA